TGTCCGAACCCGGGGCGTTTTCCCGTGGCTCCGCCTCTTTCGGCAGATCGGATCGGTCCTGTACATGACTAGTTCGGCCTTCTCCTCGGCTCTTCGCGTCTGGTATTTTGACGTGGGTATCACCATCTCTGTGGTGTTCAGGTGGCCTTGTTGACGGTGTCCCACCTGCGAGCTTCGTCTTGGCGACAGTACGACGTTCATGGTGTTTCTATGCACTTTTTCTTGCTCTTTGTACGTTGTCTTCTCTTTCGCATCGGGTTGTCTTGTCCTTTCTGGGGTTTTCTGGACTACAGTTAATTGATGTTTTCTTACTGTTGCCTCGTTTTATGCGGCGCTGGCGAAGTTGTTCCGGCTTGCGTTCGGGGGGGGGGGGACGTCACATGTCCCGTTTCGTACGCTTTTTCGTGTTTTGTTTCACCTCCGGCCTGCTCATGCGTCGCCTGCGCCGTCCTGGCCCTTGATCAGGGTGCCGCCGCCTTCTCAGTTTGTGGTAGCCCTTTCGGTTCAATTCGGTTCAAGTTTCTGCTCCTTGGTACTGGCGGTAGATTTGTACGTGTGCAGCCTTTCTCCGTCCTGGCGACGGTTGAGACGGCTGGTTTCCGGAGGGGTTATTGATGCTTGATTGCTTTGGCCAGGGTTGCGTCCCGTGTTGTCCGGTTGCGCTTTTTGCCGTTACCTGCATACCGTGTCTGGGGATGCGCTTTGGTTGATCTGGTTCCCCCTCGTTCCCTGTTTCAGGGCTCGGGTCTCCCAGGTCATCCGCAGAGTTTTTCAGTCTTCCAGCCTGCGGTCTGTCTTTGCGCCCGTGCTGTTCGGACGTTTGCAGCTTTTGCTGCTGTGTTGGTGACGTCTAGGGCTCATTTTGGGCGCAGGGAATTGAGGGTCGCAAGGGTTCTTGGCCACCCATTCTTTATGCGCGTATGCTCCTGTGCATTCTTGTTGCCTTGGGTCACAGGTTGCATCCTGTTGTCTCGGCTTCGCATTGCGGAGTTTGTGGCGGCCGCCTCCCAGGTTAGCCCTTTCTTTTCCTTCTCTTTGGGTATGAAGCTCCAGGGAGCCGTAGGGGCTCCCCACAGAAAACCAGCGTTGAATGTAATGAAACGCCATTTTCTGGGTGAGCCCCAGAGGCTCCCTGGCAACCCTCCCTCCCACCGGTAGGCGGTTTTTTCGCATTGGTTGAAGCTTAGCTTCCAAACTGGAGCTCGGCAGCCGGGGCGGGGAGGGCTGTGCGGACGATCAGCGTGGCAGTAAAGTGTGATATTTGCTTGTTTCCTTGGGATTGTAGGGAGTTTCTACCTCTCTGTTCTGTTTTTGTTTTAGTTTTTTACCATGTGGGGTTTGTTTTGTCATGCCTACCTTTCTGGGTGCCTGACCTCGGTCGATGGCAGATAAGGAAACCCCCAACCACAAGAGGGTTTTCCAGTGCCATTGCTCCCTGAAACCTCTCTGAAGGGGCCAGGTTCTGGCACTGGTCCCTGGTAGGTCTGAACTCCTTGGCTAATGTCCCGGTCTAATATAACATACATTAGCCCGATAAGTTCTAGGGAGCCTCTGGGGCCCACCCGGAAAATGACGTTTCATTACATTCAACGCTGGTTTTATGGAATGGTGCAATCTCTGTTGTTTTTAGTATGGCAGAGATAACACCAGTATCTAGGCTTTGTCTTCAAAGAATGTGAAGAGCCTGCAACAGTATTTTTTCAGTGTTCTTGATGAATAGAGAGTTCCAATAATCAGGATCTGGTGCAGAGTACATAGGCATACTGTCTATGGCTTCTTCAAAATCCAGTGGGAATAGGGTGACATCTGACAAATGATTTGATGTTGGTATCACAACCATGAAAAATTAATTTGGGTTATCAATCTTCAGTGTGTTTAGTGGCTCACTGAAAAGTCATACCGATTCAGTATTTCAGCATTTTGCTCATTTCTCTGTTGTCATCTGTGAAAGTTCCATCTCCCTTTTGCAAGGGCCCAATACTCGGTTTTTTTTTTTATTTATTTTGAATAGGAGAAAAATATTTTGGATTTCTCTCCATTTCACTAATGGCCTTTTGTCTCTTGGATTTTGTGTGATTCTTGTAGCTTTAGTTCAATCTTTTCTATTTCTCTATCTAGCCAAGCCTCTACCTAGTTCTGTGAGTAGTTATAATCCAAGCACGGCCCAGAGCCAGACTTGACTTTAGAGAGCTTGGTCCAACAGGCTGTTGCTCGAGTGGCCTGCAGGCCCATGTATCCACCACAGCCCAGTTGGTCCAGCACCTCTTGAAGAAAACTTTCCACTTTACTCTTGAAAACTTCCAAATTTGTTCCGGTAATATTTCTTATGTGCGCTAGGAGTGTGTTGAACAACCATGGACCTCTGATGTTTATACAGTGTTCTTTGATTTTGTCTATGGCACCCCTACTCTTCACTGGTTCTATTCTGCATTTCCATCCATAACGTTCACTCTAGTGTGTATTTTGTTATTTTACCGTGTAAATTTGGGACCGGGCCCAAAATAACACCACATGAGACCAGAAGACATGGCAGGATGTGCAGAATACCCCCGTTGAAAAGCAGAGGTGCAACAGGTACTCTGAGAGAGAACTCTATCAACATCAGAGGCCCGAGGCTGTTCAACACGCTTCCACTACACATAAGGGGCATAACTGGCAAACCCCTCACAGTGTTCAAGAGAGAACTGGATAAGCACCTCCAAAGAATACCTGATCAACCAGGCTGTGACTCATACGTCAGGCTGCGAGCAGCCGCGTCTAACAGCCTGGTTGATCAGTCCAGCAACCAGGAGGCCTGGTCGACGACCGGGCCGCGGGGACACTAAGCCCCGGAAGCACCTCAAGGTAGCCTCAAGGTAGGGCCCTCCAGCATTTTCTATGTGCATATTTGATACCTCTCATCTCTTTCTAAGGAGTAAATTTGGAGAGATGTGAGATTATCCCAATAATTAAGGGGCTTTATTGTGTCCATGTATGCCATACATTTTCTCTGTATTCCCTCTATTTGAGCACTCTCTCCTGCTCTGAAAGAGGAAGCGAGTATCGAGCAATACTCAAGATGGGACAGCACAAGTGATTTGAATAGTACAGCCATTATGATGGGATCTCTGGATTTGAAGGTTCTCGTAATCCATCATATTTTTTCTGGTTGATGCTATACAGTATTACCAAATTGTCCACAACTGATTACTCTATCACATGTCAGTCAAAGTGCATAATTCATAACCAAATTTTTTATGAATATTTATATTGAGACTGACAAAGTTCAATCCTGGCATATGCAATGTTTGCACCCATCAGTGTCATACAGTGATGACTTTGAAATGGAATCGTTTGTCAAAGATTGATTTATCACATGCTATAGTCAAAACGATATACTGTACATAAATCAATTTTTCTGTGATTTTTTTGTTTTGTTTAATATAGACTTGAAGATGGATTAGTACTTGACTAAATGTGCTTCACGGTTATTTAAGAAGGAATTTCACTGCACTACTCTCCTGGCAAACCAAGTCACAGACTTATATATGCATCATTGTGGATGTGGGCCCCTATTTTTATTTATTTATTTTTTCGTCTCCTGGAGGAAGGGGGGGTGGTTGCCTGGAGCCGACTGGTCACATGAAATCTCTTATGGAACATAACAGCCTTGTCCCATATGGTTCATACAAGCGAGGACACACCGTACTGGTAATGTACTAACTATACTTAATGGTCTACACAGTATTTCTCGTGCTCTTACAATAGCAAAGTCAATATTAAGTCTGATCCTTCTGCTTTACTAATGTACAATTCATTTTTTATGGACTTCTTGATTATCATCAAACCACTCACAATTACTCTGTTTGGCCATCCAGGGGACCACCCCCATACCAGCTAGCCAAATAATCGAATATGCCAAACTTCTTTCTACGAATATAAAAAAATTGCACAAAATTCTCTATATTTTTGTACGAGTCCAGTTACTCCCACTATTTACCCACACAAGATTCACTCATTACCCAAGATTCAGGTTACTGGAATCCAGACTCCTGTGGATTTTCTCAACAAACTTAAATATTCCTATGCCTAGTATAGCAAACACATGCACTCTCACTAGCATGTATCACTCTCAGATAGCATGTATCAGGCCGAGGAAGGTTAGGCTAGTTTGTCTTTGTAACATAATTAAAAAAATTGTTTTTTTTTCAATAGTACTGATTTCTACTGTCTGTGTTGAATGTCAGTATAAATATTATGGTCTTCATCCTTCGTATAAGTACTGTACTGTACTACCAAAACGAAGATGGGCTGGAAACACACAGGTATACTGACTTATCTGAAAACATGGTAATCTTTGAAAATCACATGTCAAAACATGGGAGTGCAAGTCGTAGTGTAGTCCAGGAAAATCTGGTCTAGAAAGGACTTTGGAAAACACACCAACAAATTCGTAGGTTACAAGGCAATTTCTCTATTACAAACCTATATAGACCAAAATATGATTAAAAACAGAATGTATCTATCTTGAGGTTATCTCGAGAGGATTTCGGGGCTTAACGTCCCCTCTGCCCGGTCCTCGACCAGGCCTCCTTTTTGTTATACACCCCCAGGAAACAGCCTGTAGCAGCTGTCTAACTCCCAGGTACCTATTTACTGCTAGGTAACAGGGACATCAGGGTGAATGAAACTGCCTATTTGTTTCTGCCATCGCCGGGGATTGATTACCGGTCCACAGGACTGAATCCGTATCGCTGACCACTCAGCCACAGGCCCCTGTGGCCGAGTTACTTGTGGATCCCAAGCACGGAAACACGAACATTAAAATATTCGGAACGCCAATGCTGTACTTACCATGCTGAGGCATCCTCTAGTACTATCTGCCATCTTAAATAATATAAGGGCTACTATGAAAAGCAGCAGCACAAAACCACATTTTCTATGGTTCGTTACGTTAGAACGCTATTTTGGGTCGAGTGTACAACTCAACAGGACAGGATGTCTTCACTGGAGTAACTAACCTGTTCTTCCTTGTCATTCAGTAATTCTTCCATCTTGGATGTTGCAGAGGATTGGAACTCGAATTTTTCATGCAACATGGTAGTTTCATTAACCTTGTGACTAATCTGAAAAAAAAAAAAAAAAAATACTATCTGCATTACTCGCTCATCAAAAATAGTTTTCACATAATTTATATTATTGTCTAATTTAAGCACAGACCTATATAACATTTGCTTGTAATCTAACTTTGCAGTATGATAAAGTTGAAACAATGACTCAAAATACATTTTGAACTAAAAAAAAAAAAAAAAAAAAAAAAAAAAATATATATATATATATATATATATATATATATATATATATATATATATATATATATATGTATGTATGTATGTATGTATGTATGTATGTATGTATATATGTATATATGTATATATGTATATATGTATATATGTATATATATATATATATATATATATATGTCCAACAACGTTGATGTAATTAAATGCCATTTTATGGGCTAGTCCCGGAGGCTCCCCGGAGCTATCCAGGCCGATAAGAATACCCTAACTTTTGGCATCAGTCGATGTGGGTGGAGTTCTAGGCCTACCGGGGACCATGGCCAGAATCTGGCCCCCCTCAGAGGCACGAGGAACAATGGGCTCAGGAGGAGGTATTCATTAAGTGTGTGTTTAAATATCTATAAAAAACCATCTTCATTATATTTGATTCTCTACAGCTTTCATTACCAAAATATAGAGTATAGTACATAAGGCAGAATATTCCTGCTCTAAATTCACTTCGATTTGGGTCATGTTGCTTCATGGATGACGAATTACAGACTACTCTTAAATCACGCTCTCAAAAGATCTTAATAATTCAAGACATTATAGCAATAGTTTATAATCAAGTGCTCTTGCTTTGCCATTGTCCCTGGGAGCACCTGATGTGCTGATCAGTGTGTACTGGAAATCTCACCAGCTTCTAAGCCATTTCTCCACATCACACAGTGCTTGAGCTATTTGCACTTCATATTCCCTCATATACAAGGAGTTTGATGAGTCAGGATCCAGGGTCAAGTTCATGGGCATGATGTCAACTTAATGTTACATTATCTGAAATGTGCATATTGCTATATACCTTGATTTTACCTGTAGGAGATTCTGAGTGTTGTTCTCCCCAAGCCTGGCCTGGGACCAAGCTTGACTTGAGAGTGTTTGGTTAAAGAGGCTGTTGCTTGGAGTGGTCAGAAGGCCCACGTATCCATTACAACCGTGTTGGTCCAGCACTCCTTGCAAGAAACTGTTTATTTTTTTCTTAAAGTAGAACACTTGTTCCTGCAATTTTTGTTGTACTTGCTGGGAAAATACTGAACAGTCTTTAACTTCTCATATTCATATAATGTTTTTATTGTGCCTATGGCACCTCTACTCTTTACTGGCTCTTTTCTGCATTTCCTGCCATATTGTTCACCCCAGCGGGTTGTTGCTTTACTTCCAGTATTTTCAAAGGATATATTACATGATGCCATTCTTATGTCCTTTTCAGAGAGGAGATTCTGAGAGCTTTCAAAGTCCCAATAATTTAGGTGCTTTATCGTCTCTAAGTGCCGTAAATATTCTCTGTATTCCCTCCTTTTCAGTAATCTCTTCCGCTCTTAAGAGGGAAGCGAGTATCAACTCTTAGCCAAGGTGGGACAGCACAATTGACTTCAATAGTATAAGCATCGTTATGGTATACCTTGATATAAAGGTTCTTGTAATCCATCCTATTATTTCTCTAGCCGATATTATAATTGCTAAGTTATCCTCTCTAAACATTAGGTCATGAGACCACATTATTTCATTGCTTTTCTACTATGAGTAGGTCTGATTGTGACTTGTACCCCATATTTAATTTTTTTACATACCCAAGTACCTGGAATTTATCCATGTAAACAAATACAGTGGTACCTTGGAACACGAGTGTCCCTGTATGCGAGTTTTTTGGAATATGAGCCGGATTTCCTCAGAAAATGTGTCTCGGAAGGCGAGGGTTACCTCGGAATGCGAGTTTGTTGATACGCATTCAGGCCGACTTAGCGCGTGGTGGTACGGCGATCGTCGCCCCTCTGCCCCTCCACCCCTTAGTTTACCATTGTCTCCCGCCCAGTGACTATCCCTCCTGAATTCTTCACAAGGATTTACAGTTTTATGTCGGTTTTTTGGCCATTTGAGCATAAAAGTCGTTATTATATATCTCGCCATGGGTCTCAAGAAAGCCAGTGATAAGATTCAACCTAAGAAAATAGCTGTGAGTAGAGACAGTAGAGGATGTCCCTTCTTGATTAAGAAAATGTGTGAAGTATGGGAAGAACTGCAAAGTTCTGTGGAAAAAAACTCGCCCAGATAAAGCTGTAGCAGGCTGTTGCATTGACCTTTTAAATGACAATGTGATGTCTTACTACAGACAAGTGTTAAAATGTAGGGAAAAACAAGCGTCTTTAAGACAGATTCTTAGTAAGACAAACAAGTCTTAGTGGTATGCAGGCAAAATGTGCCAGTGTGCTCACCAGTGAAGTCCTCACTGCCTGATGTGATAATGGAACAAGACTCCCCTTCCAAACAGTAACTCCTCTCCTCCTCCCCCCTCCTCCTCACCATCTTCCATACGCCTACAGCATTCAACAGCAAGGTAAGTAATAGCTTGAACATAGTTTTGTAGGTTTATTTAGATGAATTAGGTATAAAAATTTCGTTTGATGGGTAGTTTTTGGGGTAGTCAGGAATGGATTAATTCATTTAACATTATTTCTTATGGGGAAATTAGCTTCGGAATACGAGCCGTCTCCAGGAACGGATTAAACTCTTAAACTGAGGTACCCCTGTAGTTTTGCTATTATTACACTATATACACATGTTATATATACATATCTGAATATTTTGTTCACCATAACGAAGCACTAAGTTGGTATTGAGAGTCGAAAAGCAGCGAAGAGTGGCCGTCACTCACCAGCCACTCGCCACCACTCCCTCGCTCACCTCCTCACTCACCAACATACTCCTCCCACCTTACTGTTTTTGCTTTTATTCATTATACACAGACGTTAAAAATAAGTATCTACATGTTTTGTTCACCATAACTATACATCTAAGCATGTATGGTGAGTAAATGCAATAAGATCTACCTTTACACAAAGTCAGCTGGTGGCGGCCGCCCTCATGGCCAGACGCACTAATCTCTCTTCCAACAATACTGTTTATGGTTGTTATTACACTATATACACACATTATATATAAGTATCTACATGTTTTATTCACCATACCTGTACAAATAAGCTGGTATGGTGCCCAAAGACCATAGTGGCCACCAGCAAACATTGCAAGTCGTGCAGACGATGCACCTCCCTCACCAAAATGGAGGCTCCCAACCTACTCCTATTGCTGTTATTACACTCCATACACATGTTATATATAAGTATCAACATTTGTGTTCACCATAGCAAACCACTAATCTGGTATGGTGAGTGCTGTCAGTAAAAGTTGGCCACACAGAAGACGACGCCACCACCCTCCCTCCCACAGCCTTATTCCTCCCTCCATTAATGGAGCACAGCGCTAAATATCACCATAATCCTGCTATGATCAGAATCCTGGTCAATTTTATCACTGTCAAGGGTCTTCAGTAATACTATCATCGCTAAATAATAGCATGTACATATATATTGATATTTTGAGGTGATGCTGTGATCGCTGTGATGTTTTTGACATTTTGAGGCGCACAAAATGCGCACAGCACTGCTATGCGCTCATGCTGCGTGCATCAGCCTTGGTGGCTCGCTCACTACTGAGGCTCTCACACACAGTAATGTTGACCACAATTTTTCTTTCTAGGTGGCTTCTGCCAACTATCTTGAGGTTATCTTGAGATGATTTCGGGGCTTTTTAGTGTCCCCGCGGCCCGGTCCTCGACCAGGCCTCCACCCCCAGGAAGCAGCCCGTGACAGCTGACTAACACCCAGGTACCTATTTTACAGCTAGGTAACAGGGGCATAGGGTGAAAGAAACTCTGCCCATTGTTTCTCGCCGGCGCCTGGGATCGAACCCAGGACCACAGGATCACAAGTCCAGTGTGCTGTCCGCTCGGCCGACCGGCTCTAACTATAGGTCGTGGCTGCACTATAGCTGCCCCTATCCCACGCAGGGCTTTTAAATTACAGCGCTAGACACAAAAACAGCTATTAATGTATTGCGTGGTACCAGTTTTGTTACTGAAATCATCTCTATATATGTATCGTGCGGTCTAAGGGTTAATATGGCTCCCATCACGTTTTTGGCGATTTTCGTAAACGGGCGCAATATTAGAAGAAAGAGTTAGGGTGTTTGGGAAAGCCATTGAGCACATTTAAAATCAAATTCTATGGTTCACTTTAATTTTGACATTTTCTGGTTTTTGTTCACATATATGGGCCTCCAGAAGCAATCTCCGGTTTCTACGAATCCCTCGCTGCAACAAACTGGGGTTGGTCTAAAATAATCAAGTTGATTTGAGGGGGGCATTGTATTTCATTGAAAATCAGATTTATGATTTTTTGTTACCAACTGGCAATATTTCAGCCTGTAGACCGAGCAAAACTTTGCCACATAATTGAAGGAGTTCTCTCACCTATATTTGACTATTTCCAACGTGATTCTCATATGTTATTTGTTATCCTCCATATTTAACTAGCTAGATGGAAGATAATGTCTAAAACAAGATTTTCTAGATTTTTGGAAACATACTACGGAATTTTTATAATTTGGCCTGTGCCTCTACTTTTCCTTTAAACCAAATTCCATACCAATTCAATCTACCACCTACATTGAATAACTATGAATTATAACTTCCAAACCTCTTCCTGAAGCGTAGCAATTAGCTCTCCTTTGGCATCAATATCAAAATCCTTTGCACTAATTGATGCTTTGAGCGTGAGAACTTTGTTGAGCTGGACTTCCGCTTCTTGCTGCAAGTCCAAAGCAACCTGACGAGCAGTTTCCAGATCACACTCCAGCTCTTTAACTTTCGCCGATGACTCCGATACCTAAAAAAAAAAAAAGTAATTTATTTAAAAATATTCTTTGAATTAGCCTACGACATGTAACTGAACTAGAGTCACCAGGAAAGACAAAGAAGGAAAGGCATTAGCACAGACCGTTCTGTGATCTTCTGAGGCAACTTAGCTGGTCACATGTCTGGGCCTCTGCGTCCATACTAAAGGCATGCATATTTAGCATTACTTTCTGGAATGAAATGCAGTGTAATTGGGAAGATGTGAGTGCATGCAGGGTACCTTTGTAATACATGTGATACAAAGGTTATCAAGTGGAATGGAATCCACAACTAAAAGGGTATGAATGGTGTCCAAAAAAATATGAATGGTCTAGGATAGATTTAATTATCTACATTAATTAAACCATTTCAGACAAAAATTAAGAAGCTTAAATAAGTTATAATTACTAAAATAAGTGTTCTGACTCGAATACCTCATGAAAATTTCAGTGCAGCTTGTCATGAACAGAAAAAAAAATTAATTTACATATCGTCTGCTAAATAATCAGAGACCAAAGGAGACATGATTATTACATAAAAACCAGCATTGAATGTAATAAAATGTCATTTTCTGGGCGAGACCCGGAGGCTCCCTGGAGCTATACCGGGCTGATGTGTATATATTAGACCGTCTATCTTGAGCTACCTTGAGATAATTTTGGGACTTTTAGTGTCCCCGCGACCCGGTCCTTGATCAGGCCTCCACCCCCAGGAAGCAGCCCGTGACAGCTGACTAACACCCAGGTACCTATTTTACTGCTAGGTAACAGGGGCATAGGGTGAAAAACTCTGCCCATTGTTTCTCGCCGGCACCCGAGATCGAACCCAGGACCACAGGATCACAAGTTCAGCGTGCTGTCCGCTCGGACAACCGGCTCCCAAATATTGTCCGTGGCAACAGTCAATCGAAGGAGTTCTAGGCCTACCGGGAAGCAGAGCAAGAACCTGGCCCCCTCAAGAGGGGCACGAGGAGCAACGGCCTAAAGACACCCCCCCGTGTAATTGGAAGCAGTCTTTGTCTGCCATCTACCAGGTCAGGCACCCAGAAAGGTAGGAATTCCAAAACAAACTACAGTACTGCTGATCAAATAATTTGCAAACCGAGAGCCGAACTAGCAACAGAACTCTCCAATCAAAACTAAGGAAACAAATATGACGTCACCACAAACGGCGTGCATCCGTCGGCGCAATGACCTGGTCCAACGACAAAGACGGCTCGGGCAGCGCATGAGCAGGCCAGAGGTGAAACAACGCCAGAGAAAGCTTGCGAAATGGAGCAAAAGTGACATCCGCCAGGTATACAAGCTGCAGCGGCTCCGCCAGCACTACACAATACGAGGCGACAGTATTTGGCATAAGGTAACGGTCCTGAAAAACCAAGAGAAAGGACAAAACAACCCGATCAGAAACCGAAGACAACCTACGAAGAGACAAAAATTGCAGAAAGGACCGCCAGGAAATTTCATACTGCCGTCTAGACGAAACTCACAGGCGAGACACCAACAAAGCCACCTGATCACCATACAAGTGGTGATATACCCGCATCAAAAAGACCAGATGCGATGAGTGAAGGAAAAGATCGAACCAGCCACGTACCGGACCGGACCGATCTGAAAGAGAAGGAGCCGCGTGAAGACCCTCGGGTTCGGACATCGAGCAAGAAGCGCCTGAAACCAAGGCTGGGTCAGCCACCAAGGAGCCAACAGGACTACTCTCCCCTGGTAAGTCTCCAACCGAGCCAGGATCCGGAGCAACAACCGGACCGGAGGGAAGAGGTACAGGTAAGTCCACCTCGACCAGTCCAGCCGAAAGGCATCGACCCACCCGGCCTCGCAGTCTGGGAAGGGTGCCACATAAACTGGAAGACGCCTCGACCACGTCGCTGCGAAGAGGTCCACCTCTGGGCGCCCATACGTCTGGTAGAGACAACTGAATGAGTCGGCATGGACTGTCCATTCCGCAGTAAGGGGAATGAACTGAGACAGGCCATCCGCCAGGACGTTTGACACCCCCTGAACAAGGACTGCCAGCAGAGCCAAATCCCGAGAACTCAGCAGACAAGTCACCTGAAGCGACCAGCCCCAAAGACCCAAGGACTGCATCGAACCCCCCCGCAGTTCAGCCAATGAACCACCAGGGAGCAGCCCAAATGGAGCCGGATCATTGCTCCTGGAGCGACCTGAATCCTTTGAAGCGAATGCCACACCACCACAAACTCCTGCGCCATGCTGTGAGCTCGACGGAAGGACGGATCCCACCGAACCTGGCCAGCTTGGTGAGCATTTGTCACAAAACCCCAGCCGAGAAACAAGGTATCCGTGAACACATCGAGCGAGGGCTCTGGGAGGCGCCACTGCACAGAATCCCGAAAAATCCACAGAGGAAGCCGGCGATGCAGCAGCCGACGCAAGGCTCCCAGGATCCAAACCCCTTGATTGCGAGAGCGACGGAAGGGACAACCCCGAAGAAACCAGAGCATCTGCTGAAGCCAGATCTAACCCGATGGGTAGACCAGCACGGCGAAGTTCAGGCTCCCACACAGTTGCTCAAACAACCGACAAGTGACCCGGGTGCCCTCCAAAAACAGCCAGAGGTGGAACCGCAGCCACAACAGCGTCACAGGAGGGAGAGACAAGGAAGCGGTCCAAGAGTCCCACACAAGATCCAGCAAAGTTCAAACCTAAGAGGGAACCAAATGGGACTTCTTCCAGTTCAATAAGAACCCGAACCTGGCGAGCTGGGAAAGAACCATATCCCTAGCGAGCAGATCCGGGTAAGGGTCTGCTCGCCATGACCATAACCCGGGTAAGGAGTGTAAACACTCAAGGTGCAAGATTCAAGCCGAATGGAAGGCAATGAAAGTGGTAAGCTTGTCGCCCCACTACAAAACCGAGCCAGTCCCTGAACCTCGGAGGAATCGGGATGTGCCAATATGCCTCCCAGAGGTCCAGAGACCCCATCCAGGCACCTGGTGCCAAAAGCAGCCGGATCTGAGACAGAGTGGTTATCCAAAAGGAGGGGCAAAAGACCCAGGGATTCAGACTAGACAAGTCCAGTATGAATCGCAGATCCGCATAGTTCCGCTTCAGAACTGAAAACAGGCGGGAAACCCACCTGAGGGACGTTGTCGTTTCTACCACACCCAAGCGAACCCACTCTCGGATGACCTGACAGAGCACAGAAGAGGCCTGCTCTGCCAGTCCCGATCCACCCCGAAGGAGGTGGAGCGACCTAACACCACCGCAGGCCAGAGGAAACGACCCGAAATGCCCAAGAATCGTGGGACCAGGCGAGAGCAAACAAAGCGAGCCTTCCCTCTATCTCCCCATCAACAGGGCAACCCGTGAAAGGGCCGACGACCCCTACGAGAGCCCAGCCAATGCTCAGAGCTGCATCGATGGCTCCAGAGGTGGTGCCGGTGCTCCAACTCGCACCCCAGGAAAACGTTAACGACCGTAGGCAACTCTCACCATTCAAGTGCACAGTCTGACAGGACGAATGCCAAGCCCCCAACAAAGAAAAAGGCAGTCTGCCAGCCAGGATGACTCCGGCACCTTGAAACACACCCAATAAGGAAAAGAGGAGCAATACTCAAAAAGGTTTCATTATCGAGGCATAATCCAGGTCTCGCAGGAGGTAAGCCGCAAGAGGCCTCCCACACCTTCCACGGTGGGATGCGGGAAGCCAAAAACCTCCAGGAAGAAGGGAACCGAAGAACCCAAGGGAACTTGGAACCGAGCCCGGGGAGGAGTCAAACTCATAACAAAATCGTACAGGGAGGGGGATAGGAACACACCCCCCCCCCTGTAACAAGAAGCCCCCCGCACCGAGGGTACAAAACACCCAAGCCGGGACAAGTGGGGCTCAGGCCTCCCCAAGTCGACTCCTTCCCAGCCCCGGAATTCTCCACGTCAGGACCCGGGGTTAAGCCGTCCTCCAAACCCTCTGCCTTTGGTGAAAAAGCAGAGATGAAGGGGGCCCGCTGGCGTGGTCCAAAAGCTCTGGCAGGAGTACCAGGCTCGAATGCCTCTGCAACCGATCTGGATGGGGCAATCCCCGAAGCCGCCCGAGTCTCACTACTGGTACAATTAAGTGGGGCAGCTGCACGGCATCTGGAAACACTAAAGCTGCCTGCGCCCTAATATCAGTCTCAGTGGACTGGGTGAGTTGGAGTACCAGCAAAAAACACCACTCACAGGATTCCAGGTCATAGGTGTCACTGACCCCAACAGGCAGCAAGGCGGAGACAGATGGTGAGCGTCACCCTGAGACAGGGGGACAGAGCAACCTTCAAACTCTCAAAAGGCAAGGTGGGACTCGGAGGTCTCCGTCATTGAACCACTGAGCCCCAATGGGGGGTTTCCAGGGCCCTTAGGCTGACTGCTAAGGGAAGCCCAGGCGAGGTAATGCTAACCGGTTATCCCAGAGCTACCAAGCAAACAATCTAAAAGCTGAACCCCTGTGACATGTGCAAGCACGGGGACCTAGTGGAGGGCCACCATAAACCTACAAGTGGTTATACCACCACACCTGGCAGACCCCCACCAGGCAAAACAAAAAACAAATGAAAAAACCCGCAAAAGCACAACGTCTTCAGGTGAACAGAACCAGTCGCTATGCATATGTCAGACAGCTGCACAGTACCTCGCGCCCCAGCCAGCGACAAAACTACCTCCTACCCAGAGGCAAACAGAGTAAGAACCACTCCAGATGAACCCCCAAGGGCGGACAATCACCGAGGAGTGACAACCACACGGAGGTGGCTGCTCCTGAATGGCTTATGGAAGATAACCCTGAAGCTGCAAAGGCAGTACTTACGGGGCATCTATGGACACTAGCCCTAGGTGCATGCAGCCCCAGTACAGTGCCCAGTGTTACATCTGGCTCACACACCTGCACTGCAGCACTGCGCAAAGAATGGAGCCAGAGCGATCGGCCGTTCACCATCACAACAGCCTTTGAACTGAGCAGAGTTGCCAGTGTGGAGGTCTG